ACTAAGAAGACGGAAGCAAGAAGACCATGATTTCAAGGCTGTCCTAGGAAACATAGCAAGATTCTGTCTCAGAAAACCGGGGGCAGAGGGGGAACTAAAAATAGAAACATCATCTTTGTATGGATAGTTGATAACTTTAGATGTATAGACTTCCCTCTTCTGAATTTTCAAATATTTTATAAAACAATATAGCTTCATAGTCCATGAAGACTCAGTGTCAAGCTAACATGTGAAACAAAAATCATGTATACATTATTATTCTGAGCATCCCCTAATCTGTTGTGTCTTTCAGAAAGCCAATAGTGACTCCAGAGCTATTCAACGTAAGTCTGCATGCAGTACAGCATTTCCCCTCTACCCCTGAAATTGCTGCTGTTTCTTCAGTTGAACACCAGATGGAGCAATAGAAAAAGCAACTGAGTAAAGAAAAATCACGTCTTCAAATTACATTTAGAATTGTGAGATGATAGCATCAGCGACACCCAGAAACTCAGACCAACTAACGGCAAAGCAAGTTCACAAATCCCATCTCATGCTTACTCCAGGGATCACCTGAGAGGAATGCTGGACAGGCACACAAACAAAGAGGGACTGGAGAGATGGCTCAGTGGTTAAGAGCACTAGCTGCTCTAGCAGAGGACCTGGGTTCAATTCCCAGCACCCACATGGTGGCTAATAACCAGTTCCAGGAGATCTGACGCCATCTTCTGACCTCCATGGGCACTGCACAACATGGGTACACTTACATACATACAGGCAATATACTTATGCGCATAAAATAAAAAGAAAGGAGAAGGTCTGGAGAGATAGCCCTGTAGATAGTAAAACGTTTGCCTCAAAAGTGTGAGAACCAGACACAGTGGCACACGCCTTTGATCTCAGCACTTGGGAAAGCAGGTAGATCTCTGAGTTTGAGGCCAGCTTGGTCTACATAAAGTGTGAGACCCTCACCCAAGAGTATTTGGGCAACACAAATTGGACTCGACATGGAGGGAAAGCATGTAAGTGGGTAAGGAGGTGGGGATGGATCTGGGAAGAGTTGAGGGGAAATATGATCAAAGTATATTGTATGAGGTTCTCAAAGAATTAATGAAAATATTTTTTAATATTTTATTTATTATTTTTATTTTATGTGCATGTACGTACTGCCTGCAAGTATGTAAGTGCACCCGTGTTGTGCAATGTCCACAGAGGACAGGAGAGACTGCCGGATTCCCTGGAACTGGAGTTACGGACAGTTGCTAGCTGCCATGTGGGTGCTGGGATTTGAACCCAGGTCTTCTGCAAGAACAGTCAGTCTTCTTAACCATTGAGTCATCTCTCCAGCCCCAATGAAAATATTTTTTTAGTGTAACAAACCAGAGTTCAGATCCCCAGAATCCACATAAAAAGCCTGGGCTGGGTGGCATGTCTGTAATCCCAGTGCCAAGGGGTGTAGAAACAAGAAGACCCTTGGAAGCTCGTGGGCCAGGGTAGCCCAGTGGCAAAGTTCCAGGCCAATGAGCAATCCTATCTCCAACAAAAAGCTGGAAGGCACCTGAGGACATATACCCACGATTGTCGGCTGACTACCACATACACACTGTGCATGTGCACCTTGCATGTGAGAACCCACATCAGTAGGTGCATCCATCAATACAAGAACACATACACACACCAAAAAGGGGAGGAAGGTAAGCTGGCTGAGGCAGAAGGTTCTGGTGTACAAGACCAGGTAGGGCAGCATAGCAAGACTTTGTCTCGTATTCAAAAAGAAGGTGCGGTAGGGCTGGAAATGCAGCTCAGTAATAGAGTGGTTGTCTAGCATGTGCAAGACACTGAGCTTGATACAAGCAAGGGGTGGGAGGTTAAAAGGTGAGATGATAAGGAGGCTAAATGATGTCCCTAGAAGAAGGACTTCTGAAAAGTGAACTAGAAACGTGACTGGACCAACTGAGAAGTGACCAGTAAGAAAGAAAATTCAGACACTTTTTCTTCTACCAGAAGATAGTTGTAGGAAATGTATTTATACTGATCTAAAAGAAAGTGTTGTAATCCTAACCAAATCAGAATTATCAACTGAATTCAAGCTCTGCTTGGGAGGAAAGCAAATTTATTTATGCATGTCATATTACATGTTGTATTATTTATGGAATGAATGGAACTCTCTCTGGAAAAATTCGATAGGCTGGTGAGCTGGCTCAGTGGATAAGAGTACTGTCTGTTCTTGCAGAGGACCTGGGTTTGAGTCCTAGCATCACATGGCAGCTAACAACCATCCACAGCTCCAGTTCCAGAGGATCCGACACCCTCTTCTGACCTCCTTGGGCATTGCACGACACAGGTGCACTTACACACATGCAAGCACTACACTCAAATACATAAAATAAAAATAATAATTAAAAATAGCAATCCGTAGAGTGTGGTGGCACATGCCTTTAATCCCAGCACTCGGGAGGCAGAGGCAGGAGAATCTCTGTGAAATCGAGGCCAGCCTGGTCTCCATAGTCAGGAAGATCCCCACCCCCACCGCCCACCTCAAAAAAAGACAAAAAAAAAAAGCAATTCCTTGAAGAAACTGCTACCAAAAAAATGCTACAAAAACATGATTTACATATTGGGTGTGATGGTATACACTGCAATTCCAGCACTCTGGAGGTTCAGGAAGGAGGCTTGCCATGAACCTGGGCTACACAGCAATCACCAGGCTGACCAGCACTACTAAACAAGACCCGTCTCAAAAAGAAAACAAAACAAAATGTCACCTGGGGGCTGGAGAGATGGCTCAGCAGTTAAGGCCACTGGCTATTATTGCAGAGGACCTCAGTTCAGTAGTTCCCAGCACCCACATGGTGGCTCTGTAGCCTCCTTCTCGCCTTCTCAGGCACTACACACATGCCAGGAAATATACTGGCTATCAAAAGACTCGCACAAATAAAAATACATTTTTCTTAAATGTCTCTTGGAGAAAGTGAAACAATAATGTTACAGTTTGTTGGGCCTCACCTGACCCATCCCACTCTGAGCAAAAGACATCAGTACTTTTAAACAACAAATAAACATTATACAATGAAGCCTCTTGAACTTAAAAATCCAGAGTCCTGGGCATTGGTGGTACAGGCCTTTAATCCTGGCACTCAGGAGGCAGAGGCAGACAGATCTCTGTGAGATCGAGGCTAGCTTGTTCTCTGCAGAGAGTTCCAGGCCAGGTGTGGCTATAAGGAGACACTGTCTCAAAAGAAAAGCTGTTATTCTGGAAACATTGTGAGTTTAACATGCAATACTACCAACTAAACCTTGCTTTCAAATTGCTAATTATTTTTCACAATAGATTATAGTCCCAGTAGGCAAAGACTTTGAAATCTTACATATATGCTATTAGTCTTTTCATGTGTGTTCAGATTCAATAAAGTATTGTCAACTGATTATGATTTCTCTTGCTCAAAACCCTATTTTCTTCCCCATATCATTACACCACATTTCCCTAGGAGTAATAATAGTTAATATTTATTGAATGACACTACATACCATTCACTGTTTTATATACTTTGACACTGACCAATATAATCCTCCAAACAACTCTGCTATATAGCTATTATTATTCCTATTTTCCAGATAAGAAAACTGAGGAATTAGCCAAGAATGGTGGTTCGTGCCTGTAATCCCAGCACTTGAAAGTGGAAGCAGGAGGATCACAAGTTTGAGGCCAGCTTGGCCTACATATTGAATTCCAAGCCAGTCTGGGCTGTGAGAGACCTTATCTCAAACAAAACAAAACAAAAAAACTGAAAAAGAAGGAGGAGGAGGAAAGTTGAAGAACAGATTGGCCTTTGCTTGTTTGTGTATTTGTTTATTTTGTGACAAGTTCTTATCCTACAACCCTGGCTGGCTTAGAACTCAGTATGTAGGCCAGGCTGGTCTCAAAATTGGGGTGATCCTCCTGCCTCTGCTTCCCAAGTGCTGGGATCACAGACACGCACCACCATGCTGGCTAAGATAACTACTATTATAAGTTTAGTATTTAGATTCAGATCAAGAGAGACACAGGTACCTGTACTAGCCCCTTATCCAGATATACTTTGATAAAGTAGCATAGTTTCACAGCCAGAGTTGAAAATGTATTTTTCAAAAAGGGGATAAAATAGTTTACAGCAATGCGACCAAATCCCCTTCCTTCTGTGTTGGGCCCTCACAACTCCACTGCCTCGGTCTAGCCATTTCACCAGTACCTGGGTCCCGCTCAACAACCAAGAAAAACCCCGCACCAGCTGTCACCATTCTCCATTTCTCATTAGACACGCATCCCCCCACCTGACAGCCTCCTACTCTTTTAGTATTTTCAGAGATTCAAAAATAGTTATCTCTTTGGACGTCACAAGTGCTTTAAATGAGCCTTCTCGTCAGAAAAAATGTTGATGAATTTCACACACGTTTCAAGGTGGCCGTCCCTAGGTCCTTAAACTAAACGTAGCAGCCCACATTTGTTAATCCCAACACACCCCAGGCTGAGGCGGGAGTGTTGCAATAAACCGGCGGGGCGCAGCGACTCACGCTTTTAATCTCAGCACTCCCGCAGGCCTTTTGAGTTTGAAGCTAGCCCGGTGTACTAGTCTACATAGTGAGTTCAGGCCAGCTGGGGCTACAATGAGAACCCGTCTCAAAAAAAAAAAAAAAAAAAAAAAAAAAAAAAAAAGAGCATTGCAACGGAGTTGAAAGCTAGCCTGGGCTACATAGTGAGTTCTAGGCCAGCCTGGGCTACAGAGTGAGACCATTTCAAAGGAAGAAAAAAAATTTTAAAGGTCTCCAAAGCAGGAGGCTAAGACTACTGAGCTCCTTAAGAACCTGCTGCGCGAACCCGCGAAGGACATTAGGTGGCGCTGCAGGGGCGGGTAGGTGGCCGCCGCAACGCTCTAATTAGGGGGCGGGGCTAAGAGAAGCCTCACAGCGGTAGGAGGAGCGTAAGACCGCAGGGGAGGCGCGTGCTCAGCTGTGCGCAGGCGCGGGGTTGGTCACTCCCCCGGGAGTGAGGGCTGCTGGGCCGAATGACGTGGCCCGGCAACGTCCCTGCCCGGACGGCCTCCTGGGGACCCGCGCAGCCGGGACTGCCCGCGGCCTAGTTCCGACGCGCGTGTGCCCGTGGGCCGGAGCTGGGGAGAGCGGCGGTGGCAGCCTGGCCTGGCGGGCCGCCGACATGGGGGAGTGACGCGCCTGCGCCCGTGCGTCCCCCGCAGCTGCGAGACATGAGGAGACCCCGCGGCGGGGGCAGCGGCGGCTCCTGAGCCAGGATGGAGGAGAAGTACGGCGGGGACGCGCTCACCGGGCCCGGCGGCGGCGGTCTCGGGCCGGTGGACGTGCCCAGCGCGCGGTAAGGGTGCGATACCGAGCCGGCGGCCGGACCGCTGCGGACACACCTTCCCCGGGCTCGCGCGGAGCCGCCGGCCGCCCGCTTCTGCGGTGCCCGGCTCGGGGCCGCGAGGCTGCGCCCGAGTGTCTGGGCTCCAGTGCGCCGCCAGCCGCTTTCCAGTCTCTGGAGACTTTCCTGTGTGTTTCTCCCGGCCGTGGCCATGTGGTGACTCCTTAACCTTTCCCATGGCTCCCTGAGTGCAAGTTGGGGGAAGAAACCAAAGTACAAGCGAGTGAACTTGGGTGTACAAGTTAACCTAGCACCGCAGAAATCCACCCCTGGCATCGAGCTTGCGTTGTGTCCTTCCCTTAATTTAATAGTTAGAAATGTATGCTAGCTCCCCTTCCCTCCAGTTCATATGCTACAGGATTTCATAAAGTGAAAATTCCCCTTATCTGCCCTCCAGCCCTGCCACCAAGAGCTCGGGACCAAGTGGCACAGTGCACTGTCCAGTGTGCCCTCCTGGCTTCCCCTAAGCTCAGAAGTAGTGTTAAAGATGCATAAAATACAGCCCAGCAACTTGGTTGAAACTTGTATTCATTACTTTCATATTAAACGAGATTTGGGATTTCTGGTTCGTTAGTACTTTGAGATTTAATGAGTGTTTTGATAATGCTTTTAGAACTGGTAGTGTCAGTGACCAACTAATTTTTTTTTTTTTTGAAAAGAACACATATGCCGGAATAGAATTTAAGTCACCTGCAGGTTTTGTAGCATACGTTTACTTTTGAATCTGTTTTGAGCAACTCAGTTATGCTAAGAGCGTATCACATGTTAATTATTGACCCATGGCAGCCAAATGCAATATTGGCTTTTGGGTCTGGATTGGAAGAGGAGAGGAAAATACTATAAAAGACATGACTAGGCCAATTCACAAAGTGGCTGTGAACAACAGATTAAAGTATTCACTGTTAAATTTCCTGTTGATAATTGGTGATTTTATTGAGTCTTCTTAGGAAATACAAGTATGTAAGAGTAAAAGTGAAAAGTATTTGATTTACTCTCAAATAGTCCAGGGGTATTATGTATGTGAACTTAGAGAATAATAAAACAGATGGGACAGTATCCCTCCCAACAACTCAGTAAGGTATCTAAGTAAAGGGATATACTATTCTTAGGACTTTTATGTAAAGCTTAAGTATTTTTAGTAGTTTAAAATAAAAGTGGTTTTGAGGGGCTGGAGAGATGGGTCAGCGGTTAAGAGCACTGACTGCTCTTGCAGAGGACCCAGGTTCAATTCCCAGCACCCACATGGCGGCTACGAACCGTCCTTAACTCCAGTTCCAGGGGAATCTGAAGCCCTCTGTGGCATTGCACGACACGGGCGCACTCACATACATGCAGGCAATATACTCATACACATAAAATAAAAATAAATTTTTTTTTAAAGTGGTTTTTGTTGGGGCCAGAGAGATGGCTCTAGGGTTAAGAGCACTGGCTGTTCTTTCAGAAGACCAGGGTTCAAATCCTAGCACCCACATGGATTTTGCCTTTTTTTTAAAAAAAAAAAAAAAAAAAAAAAAAAAGGTCTCACTAGCCCTGGCTGGCCTGGAACTGGTTATGTGGACCAAGCTGGCCCCTGCCTTTCTGAATGCTGGGATAAACAGCATGTGCCATCAGGCTTTGCTACTGTCCTTTACAAGCCCTTCCCTTCCCTCTCCTCCCCTATTCCCATCTTCACCCATTGTTTCCTTCCTTGTAATGTTGTGCTTTAGTATGTGGTTACTTACCCTTCACTAGTGTTTCGAAGATGTCCAGCAGGAAAATTAATTGAAACTTTAAAAGTCTGCAGGGCTCAGCAGGTAAAGACACTTGCTGCCAAGCCTGATGACCTGAGTTTGAGCCCAGGGAACCACATGATGGAAACAGAACTGGCTCTCACAAGTTGTCCGTCTGATCTCCACTTGTGTGTGTGTGTGTGTGTGTGTGTGTGTGTGTACACAAACACAAAATAATTATAAGAGAAAAGAAATTTTAAGTCAAACAATGCAACCTTGAAACTTTTAATTAAAATGGGAAATAATGTTCCTAATTTGATAATGGTAGTGAAAGTCAGATTGCAGTATCAGAATGTATGTGTGTAATTGCAAATGCGAATTAATATAAAATTATATACATCTAAATGCATAGAGATGCAAAAGATGTCCAAATTGATTACCTATAAGGAGAAAATTAGAAATTTTAATTTTTCCAATAATCAGCTCTTCACGAACTAACATTGTAACCTCTAGGGTGCTATGCACACGTGTGTATGGAAATAAAATTTATGTCAGAAAGATCATAATATATTACCAACAAGTATTTCACATGAACTGTTTCATATCATTCAAGTACCAAATTTTTGAAATTTGTTCATGGTTTAGACTAAAGTTATTTAGAAATCTAAATATTACCTTTGTGAAAGGTAATATTCCTTTTCCTTGATGACTTCAATCATGAGCATCACCTGGTGAACTGAGTTGCCCTAAAGCAGGATCATCAAGTCTCCTTCCCAAGTATTCACATTTACATATACTTCTCTCTGTACACTAACATGTCCTTCCTTTCTCTTTCCTTGCTTGATAACGCCTGCATGATCTTCAATACACATTTACACATATCAAACTCTGTGGGGATGTCCTTCAGTTCCCTAGAGATGGATAGTTGTTCTTTTAGACCCCTCTGTCAACTCATTTGGGTCACATGGATTTATTTGCCTATCCTTCCCAGGAGACCTGGAGCCCCTTGAAGGCAGGGTCCTAGGATGTGCTTAGTTTTAAACAAGCAGGGATTCTCTTGAACAAAAGAACCAGAAGTTGTGTGCCCCCAGTGATAACCATCTTGGATACAAACTCGTGTCGCCTCCCTGCCAGTGTTAGTAGTGTATTGATTTTATACTCAGGCCTATGAAATGGATGCAGCATCTTTAACTAAAATTTTTTTTTGAGGCAGGGTCTCCCTGTAGCCCCAGCTAACCTGGAACTCACTGTGTAGACCAGGCTAGCCTCACAAAGGTCCACCTGCCTCTGCCTCCGAGTGCTGGAACTAAAGGCATGTGCTACCACCCCCAACAGGAACTTTTTAAATCTTCACATGCTCACACTACTGTCTTAACTTTCCCTTCCTCTTTGCCTCCCCCCTTTTTAAAATTTACATATATCTGTATATGGATATGCATTTTTTTTTTTTTTGCGATAGCCTCTCTTGTTGCCCCAGCTGGCCTGGAATTTGCTATATAGACCAGACTGGCCTCAGTGGCACAGAGATCCACCCACCTCTGCTTCTTCGATACTGGGAACAAAGGCATGCACCACCATGCCTGGCAATATTGTTTGGTTTTTTTTGGTTTTGTTTTTTTAATTTTTTTAGTATTTTATATGTATGAGTATATTGTCTGCATGTATGTAACTACACCGTGTCATGTGGTACCCATGGATGTCAGAAGAGGATGTCAGATTCCTCTGGAATCTGTAGTTGCAGGTGGTTGTTAGCTACCATGTGGGTGCTGGAAATTGAACCCAGGTCCTCTGTAAGAACAACCAATTCTCTTAACCACTGAGCCATCTCTCCAGCCCCTATTTTTATTTTTATATCATACCTTTTTATTAATTTTGTTCTTTGACTATTTCATACATGTATATACTGTATTCTGATTACTCTCCCTTATCTTGCCCCCATCCTTGTCAGCCCCCCCCCCATGCCTACCAGTCTCTTTTCTAGATTCATGACTTTGAGGGGTTTTGGGGGGGAGGGTCATGAGTGGGTACACAACTAAAGGCAATGACTCACTTTCCCTGAAATCTATCAGTTTGTCCAAGCCTAGCCTGAAGTTAAGCTTCTTGTCTTGCACTTTGGTTGGGAATGGGTAGTTACCTTGCTGTGGGAGAGCAGGAACCTGGAGATCTGATTACTTGGAAGAGTTCCCACCGAGCCTCCTACCCTCCCCCCATCCCCCGAAGCTTCCCACTGTCTTTATGAAGTATGTCCAGTCCAAAAGCCTCTTTAGGACTCTGGGTCTAACAATTGGCTTTCAGCCCCAGCCTCAGTGCAGTCATTAAGCAGAGCAGAGGAGGGGCAAATGCTCTTTTTATGCATGGTTTCTAGTCTCTTCACAGAGTGTAGTTTCTGTTTTGTTTTAATTTTTTTTTACTTTGAATAAGTTAATAAAGCAGATTACAAATTACTCCTTTAATCTTTCTGGACCATATAAATTATCGGTGAGGGATTGGGGGTACTGGAGATTGAACCTAGAGCCTCCTACAAGCTAGGCAATCAGTCTACCACTGAGCTATATCCTCGGCCTCCTTTTTTTCTTTTTAATTTCAAGGTGGGAGTCTCACTCTAAGTTTTAGCTCATGCTGGTCTTAAATACTCTGTTCCTCCAGGCATGCTTTAAACTTGAAATCCTACTGCCTCAGCTTCCCAAGTAGCTGGAATTAGAGCCATGCACCACTAGGCACAGTTTATACATTAATATGTATCAAAAGGGAACCAGGAGTGCATGTACCAAAATGTTAACAGTAATTACCATGCAGATAGCAAATTTGTTTGGGGTTTTTTGTTTTGTTTTGTTTTTAATCATTTCACATATGTTTAATGTGTATTCTTTGGGTTTTATAATGACCTCTTATACATTAAGAAAAAAACAAGATTACGGAATTGTGATTGCAATTAAAGTTGTTTCTGTTTTTATTTTTCAGATTAACAAAATATATTGTGTTACTATGTTTAACTAAAGTTTTGAAGGCTGTGGGACTTTTCGAATCATATGATCTCCTGAAAGCTGTTCACATTGTTCAGTTCATTTTTATATTAAAACTAGGGTAAGTATGGAGAGGGTCATCTTTTATTTCTCTGAAGATCCTATATTAACTGGATATCTTTAGGAAACTTTACCTACAATATTTTGTGAAGTGTATTTCTCCTGGCAATTATTTGATAGTTTCTCTTTCCTTTTTTAAAAAAATTTTTAGATGTGTGAGTGTTTTGCCTGCAGTAAGTACACCAGTGTTGGGTAGTGCCCACAGAGGCCAGAAGAGGGTGTTGGATCCCCTGGAACTGGAACTACAAACTGTTATTAGCAGCCATGCAGGTGCTAGGAACCAGTCCCAGGTCCTCTGCAAGAGGAGCAAGTGCTCTTAACTGCTGAGCCATCTCTCCTGCCCCATCTCTTTCTTTCTTGAATAGAAGCATATCTAAGGTTAGAGTTTAGAGACAGATCAGAAAAGGATTGTTTTAGCCAAGTGTAGCAGCCTGTAATCATAGCACTTGGGAAGGAAGCTGAGGCAGGAAGATTGTGATTTGGATACCAGCCCCAGCTACGTAGTGAGACCCTGTCTCAAAAAAGAAAAAAAGGTAAAGTAAAAGGGATGGCTGTATTATAATGACTTGCTAAAACACAGGCTTTTAGTTTATGTTGATGAGATTTTTTTTCATATCTCTTAATCCCTATAAAAATAGTTTTGGCTTTATACACTACCTAGGGATCCCTAGACTGTCCAGCTGATGTAGCCTAGTCTTCAACCAGGCACAAAAATGTTCATGAAGCTTGTCTTAGAACAGACATTCTATATTTCCTAAGTTAAATCATGCTGGGCCATGTCCTACGTAACACCTTCAGAGCACAGGATCCTCTTGTTCTGTAAACTATACAGTCTGTGTACAATGTCTTCCTAAATAGAGATTTTGGACCTTGAGATTGATAGTAACCACTCTGTATGTTAATAAATATCTGTTCAAGGGGGCTGGAGAGATGGCTCAGTGGTTAAGAGCATTGACTACTCTTGCAGAAGACCCAGATTTGATTCCCAGCACCCACGTAGCGACTAACAGCTGTCACTAGCTCCAGTTCCAGGGGATCCAACACCCTCTTCTGACCTCTGCAAGCATTGTGCAACACAGGTACACTTACATGCATGCAGGCAATACACTCATACACATAAAATAAAAAGAATAAAATATTTTTAAAATCTATTCAAGACCCTTGTGTGACTAATTTGGCAATTTGTGGAAAAAGATTCTTGACTAGGAAATTACATGCATTTTTATATAACTAC